CATACCGAGTCCGTGCCTTCTTGGACGCTTCAGCTGCAATATTCCATGCATTTCTCATTTTACCAAGGACCTCTGAAGGATAGTCCTCCCCGTATGCAACATTATGTCTGTTAAGCAGACCTGACGGGAAATTGCATGAATTACCAGTAAACAAATGAAGTGGTTGGGTGTTAATTGATTGGTGGATGGCAGTATTCAAGGCGAACTGAACATAGGGTAGGTGTTCATCCCAGGTGTTTGCATCATGTTCAGCAAGGATTGCAAGCATATCCTTGACTGAACGATTAGTCCGTTCCGTCATTCCGTTTGCTTGTGGGTGGTAGGCCGTTGTAAAAGCCGAAGTTGTCTCTAAAATCTTACAAACTTCTCTAAATATATTCCCATTGAATTCTTGACCCCGGTCAGAGACTAACACTTTAGGAGGTCCGAATACAGTAACGAACCTACGCAAGAATGCATCTGCAACCGTACGAGAATCCTTCTGAGGTAATGCAACTAGTGTAGTGTATCTAGACAGATGATCAACTAGCACCAACACATATCTGTTACCTGAATGACTGTGGTGTAAATCAATCAGATCGGCCCCCACACGATCTAACGGTTCACGAATTTCAGGAAATTCCTGAAGTGGGGCTTGTACCTTAAGGGTACCTTTCCTCCTCTGGCAACGAGGGCACGACTTCACGAAATTGATTACCTCAGAAAGTAATCCTGGAAAATAAAATAGAGACTTTGCTTTTAAGTGCGTTTTAAAGATCCCCGGATGCCCTGCAATTTTTGAAGCATGCGCAAGCTTTAACGCTGATGACCGCAACGCGTCCGGAATAACTAGCTGAAATACTGCCCTATCATTCTGGCTATTAACATAATACAGGCGCTGCCACCATTGTAACACGGGTTTGGGTCCTCTCTCTTTACTTCCTTCTTTCTACTCCCTCTACCCGTATTCTTACTTTTATTTCTAAACCAAGGGACTCCAAAACTTTTACCAAAGCCAACTCCACGCCACGTGGTCCTAAGACGATTGACCGACTTAGGATTCTACACCCAGTATGACGTGACCTAAGCTCTGAACAAAACCCTAGAGTCACCTCTGCTGCCACCACCAGACCAGTAATACAAGAGCAATGATCGAGGTCTGGATCGATCACGCTAATTAATCAACCTAGGGGCTTGATCCCCACTATAAACGATGACCTTGAGTGTGGAATAAATTACACGGTAATGATAATTCCGATTCGATGTTAGAATCGGCGCCCAATGCAACTCTGCCTCGTGTGGACCACCTGACCAGGACCAGTATACACATAAAACACATGGAAACAATAAAATGCAAATTAATAACAAATTTAATTTATTAAACGAAAACTAAAACAAAATCTAAATAGGTTCACTCCCTATCACTTTAACACTCCCTACTTGACCTGAGTGGCAAATGAGACTATTTCTATACTTAACAATAGCAACTATACCTTGGGCTACCAGCTAGATGTCTTGGCTGGTCTAGGGGAGAGGTAAGATGTTTGACCTCTCCTAGCTGCTTCCGTGACCCCACTGCTTTTTTCCTTGTCTGGACTACCCCAGACAGAGTATTGTATCCTTCCGCCTAGACAAAGTTCTACCCAGTTCCTAGCAAGGTTTAAGTTATAACAATTAACCTCTGTTTGTACTGAATTGATCCAGACTGGTTGAATTATTTTACTTTAATTAGATTACACAAACATCTAACGGCAAAGCTGTTCCCGATCACAAAAATGGTTATTAAAACTTTGAGAAATATTAGACATGTCAACCCTGCTGACCTATGACCGCCGGTCACTCCGCCTTAAAAGTTAGATCCGATTCGTGACGTCACTGATGGTGACTTAAACTCAATAATTAGAATACTCTTGATATTGTATCCAGTACTATTATACAATACAATTTTAATGCAAAATGAATAAAGGCTAATTTTCTCTAAATTACTGAATACTATAGGATGATTCATTATACGCAGATATGAACAAAGCGTCGGTTATTTCCACCGCGAATTCCCCTGGGGGTCAGGTCACCATGCGGCTCAGCTTCCCATTCTCTTTTGTCGATAAACCACTCTGGATAATTCTTACAACAGCCTAGTTTGTTACACTGTGAGTGGACACACCGCCATAGTGACAGTATTGGGCAGCGCCACTCATCCTGTGAGTGGACACACCGCCATAGTGACAGTATTGGGCAGCGTCACTCATCCTGTGAGTGGACACACCGCCATAGTGACAGTATTGGGCAGCGCCACTCATCCTGTGAGTGGACACACCGCCATAGTGACAGTATTGGGCAGCGTCACTCATCCTGTGAGTGGACACACCGCCATAGTGACAGTATTGGGCAGCGCCACTCATCCTGTGAGTGGACACACCGCCATAGTGACAGTATTGGGCAGCGCCACTCATCCTGTGAGTGGACACATCGCCATAGTGACAGTATTGGGCAGCGCCTCTCATCCTGTGAGTGGACACACCGCCATAGTGACAGTATTGGGCAGCGCCACTCATCCTGTGAGTGGACACACCGCCATAGTGACAGTATTGGGCAGCGCCACTCATCCTGTGAGTGGACACACCGCCATAGTGACAGTATTGGGCAGCGCCACTCATCCTGTGAGTGGACACACCGCCATAGTGACAGTATTGGGCAGCGTCACTCATCCTGTGAGTGGACACACCGCCATAGCAGCATGTACAACACTCCCCAATAGGAAGAAAACCCGCTGGCTTGTTATGTTGGGTATTTAGCCTGGTTCCAGGTGCTAAAACCGGTAATTCAGAGCCAAGTAGAAGCGTTTGGGCGTGTGTTGAGTGTGTTGTGTGTGAGTGCATTGTTTTGGTTCGTGTGTTGAGGGTGTTTTGTGTGTGTACTTAAAAAATACAGCAACATTGTAAGTTTTACAGTTCTTTGAATGTATTATCGAATTCATGCAAATTAGTGAGTTTAGGGTTGAACACGATTAATGTAGCCTGACTTGGCATGCATCAATCAGTGATGCAGTGCCATTTTGGAAGTGATTACTCAGCTCCTGGAATTGACTACAAATGAGTAAATAGTGTCTGGAGGAATGTACATTTGTTTGTACTCAATATTTCCACTTTTTTCTTCATTTATAGTGTTAACTCTAATCTAGTCTATAGTTCATCTCTGCTACAGGTTCTTCAATCCCTAGTACTGTCTGCTGTGAGAATAGGCTGCTGCTGCTGCTCTCAGTAACAAGTGTGTTACATGGGGAAACTGTGTTACATTGTGTAACATAAGTCTTTTTCAAAGGACTTATGTTTGAAGTCCTTTGAGGTGAGCACCAATTCTTGTCCTACGCCTGCAGAGTTAGGGCATCAGACTTTGTGGCTTAGTACATCAGACTTTGTGGCTTAGTACATCAGACTTTGTGTATCTTAGTGAACCATATCATCACGTTACCATATATATATTTCCAAGAGCCTTTGTGGGTACTTTATTTCTGTGTGCTTGGAGCTCGTCATTAGTAAAGGGTTGACCACTGGTATGATTTCAATGAGTCTGAGTGGTTGCAAACATGCTGGTAGCAGCCCTGCTGGGATGCTTCTGATTGTTTCTGGGAATTGCCCATCAGGGGCTTTTAATGATTGTTCTTCTAAAGCCTATTTGGCCTCGTATTTGTGGCCAATGCATATGTGAGTTGACTCCAGAGTTCTCTCAAGGACGTGGATGAGTTGAAAGTTTAGCCATTTGAAGGCCAAATGTCTTCAAATGTTATTTGAAGGTCAATCCATTTCTAACGTCCTCCTTCTAACATAGTCTATAGCATGGATCAGTTGCTTATATACTTATCCATTGGCTATATTTTAATATACTCTACCACGTCAGTATTTGACGAATCCTGAGAGAGTTAGCCTCATTGCCAGCCTGTGCTCATCTAGCTGTGCTTGCGGCGGTTGAGCTCTGGCTCTGGGGACCCGCCTCTAAACTGTTAAATAACTGGTATGCGTACAGATTCCTGAGCCTACTGGGCTCTATCATATCTACATTCGAAACTTTGTGAACAGTTTCAATGGCGTAGGTGTGGTCTAATTCGATTTTATCTGTGCCACCATGAGTCCCATTTTGGTTACTACTTGATGAAAAAGGCCGAGCAGTAAAGGATTGGTAACCCAGTCAATCCTCCCTGACCGGGATTCAAAGCAAGACGAAATAGCTGACGAGGTGCAAGGCAAATGACAGAAAATATATATTGAAATAAGTTCCAAACATAATTCTTAAGTCATGGCTGAATTAATCCTCCCCAAGGATTTTGATTTATAGAGGAAAAGACGAAGATAGAGTCGAATGGTCACTTTTTCACTTGCATATTCCTGTCATTCTTGGTTATTTAATTAGATTTATGCATTTCCTCACAGAGTCAACACATTATTTTTCACCAAAAAGTCGTCAAACAACGTCTAACAGACGATGAGGCCCAATAACATGGCTGAAAATATGACCAAAACCCACACACCAGAAAACGAGGAGACGACCACAACGTTTCGGTCCATTTCGGACCATCATATCAAGTCGACTGTATCAATCAATCCCGATTATCAATCGCCTTGATAATGGTCCACGACGGACCGAAACGTCGCCGTCTCACACATCTTCAAGTGTGTGATCTGGTCATCAATACATAGCCTGAGAGACCGCGACGCAAGCAACAGGCTGATTCAAGCCACAAGTTGGTTTAGGTAGTGACCTCTTGCTCTCAGAGTTATGGGTGGGACGGCGCATTGTTCCTTGCATACTAATCATGTTACAGGCGCGTCATGTTGATGATAGAGTCGAGCATTCACTCTCGGGTTCAAGTACGCACTCTGAGGGGGTTCAGGTACGCACTCAAGACTCATTTCTGACCACTTCTGTAACCTCACTCACCCCTGAAAGCTCCCCCTAACTCATGCGACTCAATTGAATCATTTCCTGGGGTCTAATTTACCCACCTGTCTCCCCCGTGGTACCAGGTGGTAGAGACGGTACTGGAGGTACCGCTGGGACAGGTGCAGACGGTACTGGTGGGCAGCGGTCACTCATACTCCAGGGTCAATACACTTCTCAGCGTCACCGACCTCATCCAGTCAGGCAAGTAAACAGCTGCTCTTTCTCCCTGTCCTCAGCTGCATAGCTGCTCCTCCCTGACCTCAGCTGCACAGCTAAGAGCAGGGGTAGGGGGCGAGTACAGCTACCCCTCCCTGCTCTCAGCTAAGAGCAGGGGTAGGGGGCGAGTACAGCTACCCCTCCCTGCTCTCAGCTGTATAGCTGCTTCTCCCTGCTCTCAGCTGCACAGCTGCTTCTCCCTGCTCTCAGCTGCACAGCTGCTCCTCCCTGCTCTTAGCTGCACAGCTCCTTCTCCCTGCTCTCAGCTGCTTCTCCCTGCTCTCAGCTGCACAGCTGAGGACAGGGATATGTTAGTCTAGGACTAACAATCCATGTTAGTCCTTAAATCAGTTTGATGTAAAAGCTGTATAAATTTCTATAACTTTATATTATTAATCATATTTTGCTTTAAAATAATTTTTATTATAATTTTATGTGATATGTTTTAGTAATATTATTTTCACCCATTTAATTGTAAGCAATAAATTATTTTTTATTGCTGTACAATTATTCGCTCAAGCCACAGCTACAATGATTTGAAGAAATCACTTCCGAATAAATCTTCTAAATCTAAAAAAAAAATACAATCTCTCAATTTATTAAAAAAAATCCCAGTCTCTTAAATATACGTATTCATGATTGAAAAAGATTAAGCCACCCAAGAGGTGTCACGGGCATGAATAACCCGTAATACATATTCATGTAGTATTCATACTCAGGTACCTACACCTTGGTGGCTCCCCCGGACTCAGCCATCACCTCCAAGGGTTACTCATGGCCGGGTTTACTCATGAATAGGGCCCAGGGTCGAGACCTACTGGCTAGACATACCTTCAGGGGCGCCTGGTACTCGGAGGGGCTGCTTCAGAAGCGCACTCTTGTCACTCTAGCCGGCACCTCTGTCACCTTCAGGAGGGATGTTGATGGTGAGTGTGATCACTATCCTCCATTATAGTTTCCCAGGGAAGCATGACGAAGTTGAACAAAAAAATATGTTTGCCCCAGGTTCGAATCCTTGAAAGGTCGTAGAGTTTATAGTGATCTGATACTACATAATATATGAATTTGAATGTGTATCTGTTAGTTTCATACTAGAGGCCTGCAGCCAAATATAATTACATGTGATTCTAAGTCAAATTATGGTTGATTTCTGTTGCAATTCCAGTCCATTCAAAGCAAAATTATGGTTGCTTCCAGGAACGATCTCTGCCAACGGCATACCCCTGCGATCCTGGAACCTCACAGCAACCAATGGAGTGGTTCACTTGGCTGCCGATGTCATTCCAGAGTCCGACCTCGGTTCGGATCCCACCACCATCTCCTACCCCTTCCTCAGTCACACCGAAGCTCCAATATTTCCAAGTTTTAAATTAAAATTAGACAGTGTTCCGGGCGTCCCCTCACTCAGCGGCTTGTATGAAACTCCTGATTCCGATCCTTTCCTGGGCTTCATTCCAAGCCCTGAAACCATTTCCAAGGCGCCGCCGGGTAAACAGACTAATCAGGAATCATCACTTCCTTACGTTCCTTCCTTTCAGGAATATATGGAAAGTCTGGGGTTTGCGAGTGCTCCACCGGCAGAGAATAACATTTATGCTCCCAATGACCAAACTGGGATGGAAGAGCAGTCTTCCCCGGAGCTCAATATGCACCTGGGCTCTAAACAGAGTTCAGGCGCTTCACAGAGCCTGCAAACAGTGGGATCAGATTCTTGGCAGAGCTCAAATAATCAAGCTATTGATACTCGGAATTCAGACCTCATCACTTTTCTGGGATTGTTAGACAACACCTACGAACAACATTCTAAAGACGACTCCCACTCAGCTATTGGTGAATCTATGCCGTTCCACAACAATGCTTCCAGGAGGCCACAACCGCCCACAACCACAACACCACAAAAACAGGGCATTAATGAAGATAGAAACGATGTATTCAAGAATACAACAGATTATACAACTCTTCACTTGTCCCAAACAAATGGATTAAACTTCTCGAAAACTGGGAATGAGATCATATTGACCTCAGACAACGATAATAAACCAATAGACATCGTTCAAGGTACACTAACTGTGATCAACGATTTGTAGTGTATATAGCTCTGAATTCTAGCCATTAACTGAAATAAAATGAAATATTTGAAATTAACTTAAATAACTTCCATGAGATTTGAGTATTTCACCTAAAGAACCTGATATATCTTCACTATGCCAAAGCTAAGGACCACTTAATCAATCACGTTATTGCATGATATTCCAACGTTGCTCAGCTCAACCACTTGGGCTGGACGGTAGAGCGAGGGTCTCGCTTCATGCAGGTCAGCGTTCAATCTCCGACCATCCACAAGCGGTTGGGCCACCATTCCTTCCCTGCCCCGTCCCATCCTAAATCCACATCCCTTCCCAGTGCTATATAGTCGTAATGGCTTGGCCACTTCTCCCGATAGTTCTCTCCACTCAATCTCGTTATCGCAGGATATCTCAACGTGACTCACGATAACACTAAGATTTAATTTCAGTCTCTGACGCTGCTTTCGGTCACCCAAGCGGACCACAAACCACGACTGAAAGTCCAGAAACTAGTCCCGATACCTCGGGAACTAAGACTTCGACTCCGGTTCTTGTGGTCCCAGAGGGCTCGCCGGTCTGGTCCCCAACAGAAGCGGCGACGAAGGAAGAAAAAGTCCAACTGGACGTCCTTGGTCTCCTAGAAAGACTTAATCTCACAAGGTTTCTGGATTTAGTAGATCGCGCTGGACTTAAGCTGACCCTCAGTCTAGATGGTAAATATACTTAAGACGAATCTTCATACCAGTTTCTAAAGTCAGTCTCGAGGTAACCCAGAAGATCGCAGCTCTTTTCTTGTAGTTCGAAGCTTAGGTTCTTAAAGGAATCATGGGGTGAGAATATGCTAATATTATACTATAATGTTATAGTATGGGGCTTTCCGGTAAGTTGTTATTACATTTTCAAGTAATACTGGAGAGCAATTAGAGCCACGTATGTATGTAGGCAGTTAGAGTCAGGTGTATATATATATATATATATATATATATATATATATATATATATATATATATATATATATATATATATATATATATATATATATATGTTAAGAAAGTTCATATGAAAGTTTTATAACTATTAATTGATTTTATGTATATTATACACTATACACGTGTATATCAATACACTATACACGTGTATATCAAATGCCATAAATGGATAGATTATATATTTCTTTCGAAACATTTACTAACGCCGGCATTTGCTATTTTGGAAAATGTTTGAACAAAAGGTTTAGGGGTCTGACGGCTGAGTGAACAACGCTTCGGCTTCGTAGTCCTGAGGTTCCGGGTTCGATCCCCGGTGGAGGCGGAAACAAATGGGCAGAGTTTTTTTTCATCCTGATGCACCTGTTCATGTAACAGTAAATAGGTACCTGGGAGTTAGACAGCTGCTACGGGCTGCTTCCTGGAGGATGTGTAACAAAAAGGAAGCCTGGTCGAGGACCGGGCCGCGGGGACGCTAAACCTCGAAATCATCTCAAGATAACCTCAAAAAGGTAGTTTCAGGTGTTCTGTTGACCTCGAATGAGGCCTTTTATAATAATAATAATAATAATAATAATAATTTTTATTTAGGCAAAGGTACATACATAAAGAGATTTTACAAAGTTTGTTGGCTTTATAGATAAGAGCTAGTACATACAATGCCTAAAGCCACTATTACGCAAAGCGTTTCGGGCAGAAATGGTTTCCGAAAACGGAAATGGTGATTTTAATGGTTATGTAAGACTAATATGTATTCTCTCTATTGGAAACCGTCCTAAGTTTTGTTTAAAACCAAAAATGGTGAATATAGAACCTTTGCAGAGCTTTGATTCATTAGTATTCATCAGAATTGATTGAAAACTACCTATTTATATTATTTAAAAGTACAACATATGTTCAATATTGACTGTTTGAACGTTTTAAATGATAAAATCATTTAAGTTAAATTTTTTGCATTGTGATTCGTCGTCGTTGTAAAGGTTCTACATATCCCCATGTGTGTGTGTATTTCCACAGGCCCATGGACGGTCTTCGCCCCTAGCGACGCAGCCATCAGTTCGATCCCTAGTAGTACCTTCCAGCAGATCGTGGCCAGCAGGCGTTTCCTGCGACGTCTGGTGTCGTATCACCTAGTTCCTGGCAGGTTCACCAGCGGCGCCTCCTTCAGGCCTGGAGTCCATCTTCCTACTCTCCACGCCGGCCATACCCTTAGGCTTAATTACTACATTGAGGGGCAGTTAGCGGTGAGTATAATTGGTGTCTAACGAGCCCATTTGGGAATCTATTCCATTCCTTCCCCTGCCCCGTCCCATCCCAAATCATTATCCTGACCCCTTTTTCCCAGTGCTATATAGTCGTAATGGCTTGGCGCTTTCCCCCTGATATTTCCATCCCTCTTGCTGAAATTACTTTATTTTTTTGGTTAAGACTTGAAATTTTTATTGTGTTCATATATATATTTTTTTAATATGTTGTAAAAAAAAAAGTTGCATTTGACTGTAAAACTATAAAACAATGATGATGTTTCGGTCTGTCCTGGACCTTTAGTCTTCACAGGACCCTTATAAAGTCCACTGGACTTTTATCAAGTCCAGTTACGATTTTATGAAGATCCAATACGGACCGAAATGTTATATAATTTCCATCATACGTATAAATTGGGATAGTCATTGATTTAACATATTTTAACATTACGTACCAGAGCCTTAATCCATTTACCATATCTGGATAATGCCTAATATCCATTAAATTTATTATCCCGATATCCGTATGAGAATCCATACCTCCCAGTGGGCTTGATATCCAAGAGTCACGTCGTTAAATCAACGTATAACTCTTGGATATGGGAGTTATCTCTTGGATATCTTGGAGATCTCTCTCTCTCCTGATGGGAGAGAGAGAGAGAGAGAGAGAGAGAGAGAGAGAGAGAGAGAGAGAGAGAGAGAGAGAGAGAGAGAGAGAGAGAGAGAGAGAGAGAGAGGGGGGTGGTTAGTTAGTTAGCCTCTATCAACATAACACCCTCTTTTCGGGACGTTGGTTGTTAGCGATGGGTAGTTGGTGGCAGCGTAATCACTGACCTGGATGAAGTGGCCCTGAATGGGGTCATCCACGTGGTGGATCGTCTACTGTACGCTCCCTACGGCGACCTATCCACCACCATCAGCCTCGCTCCAGCTCTGACCTCGTTCGCTAATTTGGTTAACGAAGACCCGCTGCTCCTTCGGTATCTCTCAGGTACGTCCATGGAAACGAGTCGAACTGTTTGTACTTGTTTTTTTTTCGCCGTAAAGGCTTTTATCAAATAAACCTAGAAATACATCTAATCAACCATCTAATCATAGGTTCGAACCCTCGTCACGGCCCTTGTGGATTTGTTCATATGATGCATCACGCTATTGGGATTTCTGTGTGTAATCCGTTGTTTGTTCGGCAGGTCTCGGGCCTTACACCGTGTTCGTACCCTCCGACCACGGCTTCGGCAACCTGAGCCTCCCAGAAGACCCATTGGCAAGAAGAGGTGAGTCAGTACTCATCTTCAGGTAAGATCAGGCAATATTATGCATCTTTGGCTCCTGTAAAGCAGATGTAAATAGTCGTGTCATGTTGCTAATTGTAATTAAGATGCAATAAAATGTTTATCTTAACATACTAAGAAGGTTAGGTTAGGTCGTGGTTTTCTATTCATTATCTATTTTTCTTTTTAGGTAAACTCAAATATTCACAATACATTAGTATATCACATATGTACTTATTCATAAGCAAAATACTGACTATAAGCAATTGCGAGAACGGGTAGAATGTGCATGTCACTGTGGTAAGGTTAAGTTTATAAGCATCTTGCTGACTGACCGAGCCAGTCCCGCCCTCCTAGGGACTACCAACGTCAAGAAACAGTCATACTAAAGTGCCCCCTTATCCTAATCCACCAGAGGACTCAAAACAGAAAACGGGATATTATGTTAAATCCGAGAGCCGCTGCCATTTCCTAGTACGACGATTTTTGGCCTTATGTAGCCTTATTTTTGGCCTTATGTAGCCTTATTTTTGGCCTTATGTAGCCTTATTTTTGGCCTTATGATCATAACAAGCGTAGATTACGCAGTTCAAAAAATTTAGTATAGATACACACAGAAATCACAATAAGGTGTTATATCGCTTTATATATATACAATTGACCAAGGCACGTCTAGGAATATCCCGTGCGTAGATCCAAACTCTAATCAAGGCCCGTGTGGATTCATGTTAGATATTGATCTTTCTATGGCATTACAGAGTGGGTGATGTCGCACGTGGTGGAGGGCGCCTGGTTCACGGCGGGCTTCTCCAACATCTGGCCGCTCATCTCCAACACTAACCATTCGCTCACCACCATTCTCATCAATCAAGGTGAGACGATTAATACGCTGTGCGTATTAGTGGCTTTTGGCGTAGTATGTACTAACTCGATCTATATGTTGTTGCTGTTAGAGATTCAACTACTGGGAACAAAAAAAAATCGAAGCAGCACGGGCTATGGTGAGCCCGTAGTGGACTTACCCGGCACAGGAGCTGGGCTGGAACTCTCGATCTAGACACCCAAAATTCTGTTTGTAACTTATTTTGTATGTACTGTATACTTTTACCTAAATTAACTATTAATTTATTATTTATTTATTAATCACAGGCTTCCTGCCCCCAACAAAAATAAATTATATTAAAATTTTCTAACCTTATGTGTTTAATTTCTTTTACTTTTTATTTATATACAAAAAGGTATATTAGATTGTTAGAGTTCGTAATATCGATGTTCTTACAAAGTCGCTAATATACATAGCGTTTTGTGCTTATTTATTTTAGTTGAATATTCTCATTGTTTATTTATCTATATAAGAGTTCTTACATTCTTGTACAGCCCCCATAACGTCTCAGGCAGGTCCTTAATCCTATTTTCCCGGGAAAATAGGTCCTTAATCCTATTTTCTCCGGAATACAACCGGCCAAATCGTTTAACAACCAGGTACCCGCACCTGTTCGATGATCTTTATAAACACACCTTTGTACTACACACACCTCTGTTCCTAGAGGTGCGGGAAGTAATGTTATACATTTTTCTTTCCAGACAAAGCAACCGTGAATGGTGTGAATATCATCTACGCTGACATCACTGCGTCCAACGGAGTGATACATGTTCTTGAGTCTCCCCTCTTCACGCCGACTTAGGCAATCACAGAGAACGATATTATAACTAACCCCTAACTAAGCTAGCCTCGATTTTAAGTTTCATAATGGAATTTTAATGGTTTAATTCCAAACTTTGTTCGCCCGCACTCGCTACTTAACTTCTTACAGGCAAACCTTTGTTATTTATGGCATTAAAAGAAACTGTTGTATATTCCACTGCCTGTATGATTGTATATCTAACTCTCCCAAATGTTTCTAGATTCTGTATTTAATAAAAACAATTGTATATAGTGTACCACAAGAGGCGCCATGTTTCTTCTACTGTACGTAAACAAAAGGGATTTATACAACCCAGAAGTATACCACACTCCTGGGGGTATATACTCCCTGAGAGAATACTCTAGGACCTCGAAGTAAACTTCACAGTATAATTGCTGGTTTTCCAGTAAGCACTTAAATTAAATTAATTATTAATTAACAATTATAAGTTTAAAGTGCATTATTATGTTACCATATCAACTTTGAAACCATTTAGGAATGTATAAGTATGAAAGTGTTCCAACTTGAGTCCTTGGGCTGGTCCCTTGGTTCTTGCTGATAGAGTTATGTATATCGTTTCAGTTTATAATAAACGAGTAGATATCATACATGTGTTTATATATCCCCCCCTTTGATATATATACGTGTTTATATATCCTCTTTGATACATATACATGTATTCATATAAATAAACACATAAATGTGTTTTGCTGTGAGTTTGTTGTTGAAAAAATTACTTAAAATTATGTATATATAAATTATGTATTATATATATATATATATATATATATATATATATATATATATATATATATATATATATATATATATATATATATATATATGTGTGTGTGTGTGTGTGTATCACGAAAATAAACACGTGATTAAGAATGTGACAATGTCAGACCACGGAGGAAAAATGAAACAGGAAATTTCCTTAAGTACTTTCGTATATTAAATACATCTTCAGAAGGTCCAACCTTCTGAAGATGTATTTAATATACGAAAGTACTTAAGGAAATTTCCTGTTTCATTTTTCCTCCGTGGTCTGACATTGTCATATATATATATATATATATATATATATATATATATATATATATATATATATATATATATATATATATATATATATATATATATATATATATATATATATATTTTTTTTTTTTTTTTTTTTTTTTTTTTTTTTTTTTTTTTTTTTTTTTTTTGAAAAAGTTTGTGAGGGTACCACCTCTGGTGCCAATGTGGGGACCCATAGCCTCGGAGAAGAAAATAAAAAGTATTCAGAGGAGACCTTGTGGTTTCTCACTGAACACTAATATTATCTTCTCCTACCACCCCCATTCTTTTGTATGTACACATATATATTTACTTTATTTGAACTTTGTTACAAAAAAGGAGTTACATATGGGTTACAAAGATGGTTGTCATAGGTTGTCGAGTTCCTCCAGCTCCTCAGATGGCGGGCAGGAACCCTGGATGCAGTGCGCATTTCCCCTCTGTATCGCCACACTGAGGCGCTGGAAAAGAAAGCTTGCAGCTCTCGGGTCCCTTGTTGTTTCAATGAGCCTAGAACCCAGTTCCTTCAAAAAACTGGTAGCACTTTTACCCCAGGCGCCGAGCGTCTCAGAAGCAATGGGGACAAAATTGTAGTGGTGATCCAGTTCTCTATACTTACGGGATTTGGCTGCTTCCCTGTGGGTGGCAGCGCCACCTGATTGTGCAACACTGAGGTTAATGTAGGTGTTAGCCAGGATTGATACGCACGTGTAGTCCCATACCAACTGCTTGCCATTCTTCCAAGGGTTCACTGTGATACCATCCGGGCGACCAATAAGAGCATCAGAGTTACGGGGCGTTAGGTAACGGGGCTCTCTTTCAGCTGGGCATCCAGCTATATATATATATATATATATATATATATATGTGTGTGTGTATATCACGAAAATAAACACGTGATTAAGAATGTGACAATGTCAGACCACGGAGGAAAAATGAAACAGGAAATTTCCTTAAGTACTTTCGTATATTAAATACATCTTCAGAAGGTCTGAAGATGTATTTTCTTCTGAAGATGTATTTAATATACGAAAGTACTTAAGGAAATTTCCTGTTTCATTTTTCCTCCGTGGTCTGACATTGTCATATATATATATATATATATATATATATATATATATATATATATATATATATATATGAGTTATTATATTCTTGTACAGCCACCATAGCAGCATTTCGGGCAGGTCCTTAATCCTAATTTTCCTGGAACACGACCCGCCAAATCGTTTAACAACCAGGTAGCCATTCACTGCTGGGTGAACAGAGGCTACAGTTAAGGATTGGCGCCCAGTTAATCCTCCCCGGCCAGGATACGAACCCAGGGCAAAGCGCTCGCGAAGGGCCAGGCGAGTGTCTTACCACTGCGCCAGGAGGAGAGTTTAGACAAAGCAGCAACCTGAATTCTGGAGCATTGAGTCGCACAAATGTATATATTAATTGGCAACTGCTAACACCTCGCTGAGGCAGGTGTGTAGGTATAGCAGGTGTGTGTAGGTGTGATGATATAGCATGTATGATGGTGTGAAAGCAAAACAGGTGTCGTGAATACACGTGCAGCAATTATGCAGATGTTAAGATTTCATTCCAAATATTAACACATAAAATGCCCAGAGCACGTATTAGCTTCAGGGTATACCCAGAGGGTATCCAGAGTATCCCACGAGGGTATCCAGAGTGTACCCAGAGGGTATCCAGAGTATCCCACGAGGGTATCCAGAGTATACCCACGGTGGTAGCCAGAATATTCCCACGGTGGGACCTTCAGAGAGGTCCCTATGTAAGGCAATAATTCATTCGACAAATTGCCTTGGTAAACAGTGTCAGAGCCGGACTGAGACAGCTTCGAGGCTTCAAATGTCTCTGTGACAGGCTTCAAATGGTGGTGACAATGAGGCTTGAGAAATTACTGCATTAGCCATCCCGGTCTATGTGCCTTGGTTTACGAACCACGAACGTCGATATGCGTGATTGGGCTCTCATTTAACTTCTAAGAAATCTTTTGATACGAGCCACATTGGGGTGTTTGAGACCTCAAGGCAAACCGTTCATTGGTCAATTCCTTGCCCTGGAATAAACCTGATTGGTGTTTGCTCATTCAGCGATGAATTTGATTGGTTTGTGTTCATGTGTTGGGTAGTTTGGTTGACATTATCCGCGAATGGATCTAGGTGGTTCTTAAGGCTTGAGGAGCGATGCTTGAGACTATATCAGCATTAGAACTCTTGAGAGCGTCAAGAGCGGAGGTAGAGAGCTTCTAGCTGTCTCTTGAGCGATGAAGCTTCAAACCTTCCCAAGTCCTTCCTCTAGGGTGAGTTCCTTGACAAAGGTCATTTAACTAGGGTCATTGTTTTAGATTCAGCTACTCAGAACAAAAGTTCCAAGTAGCACGGGCTATGGTGAGCCCGTAGTGGCCTTACCTGGCACAGGAGCGAGGCTGTGTATGTGTGACTAGGGAGAAACTATTACCAGATATACCCAATCACTTGGGTTGAACGGTAGAGCGACGGACTCGCTTCATGCAGGTCGGCGTTCAATCCCCGACCGTCCACAAGTGGTTGGGGCACCATTCCTTCCCTGCCCCGTCCCAAATCCTTATCCTGACCCCTTCCCAGTGCTATATAATCCTAATTCCTTTGCCCGACAGAAGAGAAACAGCTTTACAACCTACAAAAAGATAAATATAAATAAATGTTTATTTAGGTAAATAAAGATATATATTTCAGCTTGACTGGAGGTGGTGGGCGGCAGTAGCAGTAGTGTGGGCGGTGATGTGGGCGGCGATGTGGGCGTGTGTGGTGACCTCTACCACAGTCACCACACCAGGGACACTATACACTGCCTCACCAGGAAAGAAGACTATTGGAAACATCGTAACTACCCTACAGGTGAGTGTTGTTAACTTCAGACCTTGTGATAGCTAATTACCATATCAGTTGAAGCCCCCCCAAAACAGGAAAAAAAATGAACATTACATAAAAGTGCTAAAATGTTTTATATAAAAAAGACTTAAGCCTACACATTGACTACACAAATATTCACACATGTAAAATATTCGCGACAGATTGTGAAATATTTTACGAAAAAATATTTTAATATAAAACTAATTAAATATTAAAATTATAAAATAAAATAATATTAAAATTTTAATATATAATAAAAAAATATTTAAAATATAAAACTCCCCTGGAAACACAAACCGAAACTGTCTCTATTTTCCGCTTGTTACAACTTGTAATAAAGTTGTTACATCTTGGCTTAACGTGTTTATGACGTATTAGAACGTTGTTACAACTTGCTATATTGGTTGTTATAACTGGTTAGCAGGTGTTAAAACTTGTTCGAACGTTGTACCAACGTCGTAGTTTCGGTGTGTGTGTTTTTGGCGGGAGGGGGCCGAGGCGGTCATTCGCTACGACAGTTTTCCTTCACCTACAGGTCCACAAGAGCCTTGTCTTGTGCGCCAGTGTGTGTTCACTCTCCTCCTGTCCCGCCTTCACTCTGACCAACACTGACCTCGTCGACTACACCTGCGTTATCTACGCCAGCGTCTCCGGCTATCTACCTGAGGATAACGCCACTACCTATACGCCGGTTCATCAAGGTGGGGGATATCCTGTTTACGTTATTCATATGTAGTGGGATTTTTTTGTGTTATTAAACAGTTCGGAACGAATTCTCATCTCATAAAAATATTTTTTTAGGATATATCTGACTCTCATTTGACTCTTAAGAAGAGTATTATTGATAGTTTTAACCTCGTCTTTAATTTAAAAAAAATGCTGATGCTCTGTGCAAAGACGTCCAACCACTTAGAGTGGACGGTAGAGCAACGGTTTCGCTTCATGCAGGTCGACGTTCAATCCCCGACCGTCCATAAGTAATTAGGCACCATTCCTTTCCCCTGTCCCTACCCAAATCCTGACCCCTTCCAAGTGCTTATATAGTCGTAATGGCTTGGCGCTTACCCCGATATTACCCACCCCTCTATATGGAATGCATTGAAGTGTTTTGCTTCTCTATAACATTAAATCCTCTTAATGTTTTCCCCAATAGAGGAAGCTGTCAGTTCCGGGTCCTCTACACCAGGCGCCTCTACACTACCCTCTACTGCTCCTTCTACCAGTACACCTTCAGGAAGAGTCTCATCTACCACCAGTATCGCTCCTCTTGCTTCATCTACCCCCAGGACCACTGTACTGGGAGAGTCAACCACTGTAACCACTCCTGTAGTCACCTCATTAACTGGAGAGTCCAGCAACCTGCTACATCCCACAACAACTCTCTCGTACCCAGGACCAATGGGACCTGCGCCTCCGCAACCATTGGGCCCGGGCCCGGGACCCAAAAAAATGGGACGTTGAAAATATCTCCCTCTTGTGTTTTTTATGAATTTAAATTAATTAAAAATCATATGTTGAGTTTCAGGTTAAATCAGAATATTTGAATTCAAAGTTTATTAGACACCGAGATAAAATATAATGATCATTTGCCTGTGATAAAATAACATTTTAACCCAATAAACTGAAGAGATATGCTTGGCAGTCGACTAAAGCGCATCTGGGATCATCCCAGACGGAGGTTCGAATCTTCATCACGGCCCTTGTGGATTTGTTCAAATGATCAGAGACACAAGTTTGTTTTTTAATGCATGTTAATTGGCACTTCAAACTACCAAACAGCACAGGAACGAATCAGAACTTATTCGTAACTTGGAGATAATTCTCCACGTATAAACTCAATATTAATCTTTCTTCGATTAAGACCAGAAATCGCCAATTAGGTCTTTAATAAGATGATTTATGTCGGAGAGAAATAATGTTGTATTGAGATTACACACAGAGATCACACTAACGTGATGCATCAAATGAACAAATCCACAAGGGCCGTGACGAGGATTCGAACCTGCGTCCGGAAGACCTGTGTCATGTTGAGACCCAACATGACCACAGGACTTGATTGAATAACACACTCTTAGTCTGTCTAACATCCTTTAGCAAGAAAGAAGAATTTTACCAGTAATCCTTATCTACCTTGATTGAAGAATTCAATCAATTCCCCAGCACCCCAAAACCGCACCTTAACTCCCCTTTCCCTACATCACCACCCCCCCCCCAACCATCCCCCACCCTTCCCCACAACCCCCACCCCCCTCCCTCTCTCTCCCCTGACAAGATGGACGAGGACACCTATTTAAAATGAGAGAACGTAGAACAAGAGGGACGGAAGACATCTGTTGATCTGTCAACTGTTGACACCAGTTGATTGACAGTTGAGAGGCGGGACCAAAGAGCCAAAGCTCAACCCCCGCAAGCACAATTAGGTGAGTACATCTCCCGTCACGCAGGGTGCAGCCGCGCCTCCACAGATCTCCAGTATCAGCTCTTGATACTGTTAATGGCTCAAAAGGGCCACCACTTACGGGCTATTCATGCCCGTGCCACCTTTTGGGTGGCTTAATCTTCATCAATCAATCAGAACAAGAGATGAACAGAGACCCAGACACACTTCAAGATGGTACACGACCCTGCAGACCAACATGATGATTGATTGATAAAGATTAAGCCACGCAAAAGGTGGCACGGGCATGAATAGCCCGTAAGTGGTGGCCCTTTTGAGCAGAGCCAGAACTGTCCCTAAGCTTAGGGACAGCTTAGCGGCCCAAGCTTCGCTCTCCCTGCCGGCCTAGAGCGCTAATTTTACCCCTGGCATGTTGTTGTTATAGATTCAGCTACTCGGAACAAGTTGCAAGTAGCACGGGCTATGGTGAGCCCGTAACTTACCTGGCACAGGAGCGGTGACCCCTGGCAGGCAGCGAAAGCTTTGCCATGGTAACGAAATGCGCAATTCGTGTCGGTTCTGCGGTTCTATTGGTCCAAACCCGAAATACCGCGCGCGAGCGAGAGAGCGCGCGCACACACCCACCTGTGTCCGCTTATAAATGCTTGAGTAGTGACATCTTCATGACGTCACGGATAATTCCGAACACCCCCCCCCCTCCCCCTTGAAGTGTAGTCATAGCTTTGTTTATATCTTTTACACCTGTTATAATCGACATTATTTAATGGTATTTAATGTCTATTTCCTCCCATAAAGTCTTTGGAGAATATAATTAAGTTACCTTCATATAATCCGTGATTTGTACTTTCGTATGAAGCAAATACACACCTGACCTTGACGCGATGACGCAGCTTGCGTCCAGTTACTCGAGAGTCAATAGCTCTGTCTTTTCCCAGTTCACTCTAATGTAAACTTGTTAGGTGGAGTTTACTCTGGAACTGGGTTCACATACGAGGGGGAACAGTATTCCGTATACTTCCATATCAAGGTTTCGGATAACTGTGTAATCACTTAGTTGATCTCAACTGGCAATTAACTGGTGTACAGGTTCACGAGTCCTTTAGGCTCTATCATATCTACATTTGAAACTGTGTATGGAGTCAGCCTCCACCACATCACTGCCTAATGCATTCCATTTATTAACTACTCTGACACTGAAAATAATTCTTTCTAACGTCTCTGTGGCTCATCTGGGTACTAAGTTTCCACCTGTGTCTCCTTGTTCGTGTCCCACCCGTGCTGAAGAGTTTGCCTTTGTCCACCCTGTTAATTCCCCTGAGAATTTTGTAGGTGGTTATCATGTCTCCCCTTACTCTTCTGTTTTCCAGGGACTGTGTGTGTGTGTGTGTGTGCGTGTGTGTGTGTATGTACTTAGCTAATTGTGCTTGCGGGGGTTGAGCTTTGGCTCTTTGGTCCCGCCTTTCAACTGTCAATCAACTGGTGTAAAGATTCCTGAGCCTACTGGGCTCTATCATATCTACATTTGAAACTGTATGTGTGTGTGTGTGTGTGTGTGTGTGTGTGTGTGTGTGTGTGTGTGTGTGTGTGTGTGTGTGTGTGTGTATGTGTGTGTGATTTCGTTTGGTTTCCAGGTAAGCCTTCACCAATTGACGTAAAGCTAGTTCCTGAGTCTGCATGTCATGGTGGTAGATCGCATGTCCTCCCGGTCAGTCTCTCTACCCTATAATCACCCGATATATACATGCTATAGTTTAAATCACGCGATGATATACACATGCTATACAAACTAAATAAAACAATGAAAAACGAAATATGTATTTTTGTCCCATTTTAATATGTATTTGTCACCAGGGGGAAAACATTGTATATACATTATCTAGACTGAAAAGGGAGCTACAAGGCAAGGAATCCCTTTGTTATTAATTTAGATAAACAGAACCATCGCGCAGGCGCGTGAGTGGTTCAAGGGGGGTCTGATGCAACCTGTTAACGCAGTTCGATTTGGACGCTCGCAGGGTGAACACCTCCTCTCTCTCTTCCTATCCTAAATCCCTCTATAATAACTCTCGCCCCAATCTCTACACGGAGATAAATCCGGAGTTATATATATTTGTTTCGTTTAGTGACAGATATGAAATATTATTTTGGATAAATGGTGATTTTTTCGAGGGAATTAATTCGATAAAGTGTTAATTTGGGAGGAATTATCGACCTGTGGAATTGTTTGTCGAGGACTTGTTTAGTGTTTATTGTGTTGCCTGAATTGTGTTTCCTGCAGCTTGTTCAACATGCACGGGATTCTCTCTGCCGGTAAGTTGTTCTTCGTTCTTAGTTATTAATTAGTAATTATTATTTACACAACATGTGACATTTGCTTTTTTTTTATTCGACTTAAGTGTTTTTTGTCTCGACAGTTATTTAAAGCAAATTTGTCTTGTCTTCGCCTTAATTCATCTTCTTGTATTAATTAATCTTTAGATATCTTGTATTAATACAACTTGTCTGAAAAGGAGTATCATTGTTGGAGACTTCTCGATCGATAGGAACGAGTCTACCTGGGCCTAGAGAACAAGCTGTTTGGTAGTTCGCCCAACCACTTGGGCTGGACGGTTGAGCGAGTCTCGCTTCATGCAGGTCGGCGTTCAATCCCCGACCGTCTATAAGTGATTAAGCATCATTTCTTTCCCCCCGTCCCATCCAAAATCCTTATCCTGATCCCTTCCAAGTGGTATATAGTCGTTCTGACGGTGATTTCTCCTGATAGTTCCCTCTCATCCCTGTCTGGTAATCCCTGTCATTAACTAATCATCCCAACGTCTGAGACCACAGTTCAAGCCTTGCATCACTCTCTCAAGTGTCCGCTCACAGGATTAGATTTCCTCGGATAAGGATCTTGCTGGCGACCCGGATTTGCGTTGAGCTATGAAATGAGCTGTTTTTGGGCACGTTTCCTTTCGCCGGATGCCGCTGTTCACCCGGGAGTTATAGGCATTGAATGCCGGTCCGACAAGCTCTGTGAATGAGCTGTGTTGTGAGTTGTGAGTTGTTGACCAGACCACACACTAGAAGGTGAAGGGACGACGACGTTTCGGTCCCTCCTGGACCATTCTCAAGTCGATTCTCAAGTCACAATCGACTTGAGAATGGTCCAGGACGGACCGAAACGTCGTCGTCGTCCCTTCACCTTCTAGTGTGTGTGGTCTGGTCAACATACTTCAGCCACGTTATTGTGACTCCTCGCCTGCATTGTGAGTTGTGAGGTGTGAGTGTTTCTGGCACGCAGCGGCCAGCTTCACCTGGCCTTCAGCCTAATTCCGTAGTCTGTGGGAGGTGTTTGGGATAAAACTGTAGTGAGGCTTGTGAGGAAGAGCCAGATGTGAGGGAGAGTCAGAGGTGAGAGAGTCAAATTCGAGTCATATATCACCACTGAAGCAGCACCTAAACACACACTATAGCTCACTGGCCGCCTCAATGGAATTATAATGGCTTTTCTCTCTATATAATAAACTTGAAATACCTAAATTTCATAAATTATCAGCTTCTGACGTAGTCATGTAACCGTTTCGAAGGGGTTCCAACAGTACATATTTGTACGTTTGAGCAAATAACACTCTATATATTACAACTTTAGGAGAATGGGTGGATTGGGACGGGAGGATTGTGAAGATTGTGTGATTCGCCTGACATTTGCAGGTTCGTATCCCACCGGGGTTCTTGAAGGTCACCACTTGAGATAGTCTAAACACAGTTGTTTTTTAGATTCAGCTTCTCGGAGCAAAATTGTTACAAGTAGCACGGGCTATGGTGATCCCGTAGTGGACTTACCTGCCTCAGGAGGCGACGGTCTCAACATTTCCTTAACTCTTGTGTTAGTTAGATATATATATATATATATATATATATATATATATATATATATATATATATATATATATATATATATATATATATATATATATATATATATGCGAACAAGCCCAGGACTATATTATATAATATATATTATATATTACTATTATATATATATAATAGCTCTTTCTCACTGTTGCTATTTCCTCTGGCGAGCCAGCTGATGGGGTTCTTATCTCTGGCAGGTGTATAGTATACCTGGTCTACACCTGCCAAACACCTGCTCAACACACGAGACACACCTGGTGAACTCGGATTGTAAACGATACTAAGGATTGGTATGGAGAGAAGGTGAAGAATTGATGTTTCCTTGATCAAATTGATCAACCAATCGTTCTGTGAGTCTGTTAATCTGTGAGAATTAAAGTGGGTCTGTGAGACTGCTGATATGTGAAACTATGAAGCTCTTAACTCTCTAACATCTGAGAGCCTCTGACAATTGATAAGAAAACTACTAAGATCGTAAGAATTAAGTAAAATGCAGAAGGCATATAGGACTATACGAAACAGCTGTTATTTATATCAACCCAAAACTCATTTATCTGATGAAGGTAACTGTGCCTCGGGGCCCTAAATTATCCAGGACTATCAGTTTTTTGTTTTTAATTTAAATGTTTCTTGGAAGGCGAATTGCAACGTTCTTCCCATTCAGTACACGCAATAAGGAGATATCAAGTATAATCACAGGTATTGGTTGCAATACGACAGATTGCAAGCAGCGGCATCTAACAGCCTGGTTGACCAGACCACCAACAAGTGACCGGGCTATGGAAGCATTGATCCAAGGAACTGCCTCAAAGTTGAGTGTCTTATATACCAAAGAAAACAAGGAAAGAGCTAGTGTTAATGGAGTTAAGTCAGAGTGGGAAAATGTTGTAAGTGGAGTGCCTCAAGGCGCTGCCCTGGGACCTCTGATATTCATAATATATTTACTCAGATTCAGGCTTGAGCAGCATTATTTACATATTTACTGACGATAATTTGGGTGGATATAAATAGGAGCTGCCTCGAATGGGTTAATAGGAGCTGCCTCGTATGGGACAATAGGAGCTGCCTCGTATGGACCAATAGGAGCTGCCTCGTATGGGTCAATTGGAGCTGCCTCGTATGGGCCAATAGAAGCTGCCTCCTATGGGCCAATAGGAGCTGCCTCGTATGGGCCAATAGGAGCTGCCTCGTATGGGCCAATAGGAGCTGCCTCGTATGGACCCATAGGAGTTGCCTCGTATGGACCAATAGGAGCTGCTTCGTATGGGCCAATAGGAGCTGCCTCATATGGACCAATAGGAGCTGCCTCGTATGGACCAATAGGAGCTGCCTCGTATAACCCAATAGGAGCTGCCTCGTATGGACCAATAGGAGCTGCCTCGTATGGACCAATAGGAGCTGCCTCGTATGGACCAATAGGAGCTGCCTCGTATGGACCAATAGGAGCTGCCTCGTATGGACCAATAGGAGCTGCCTCGTATGGACCAATAGGCCACCAACAGTTGCTTTTTTATGTTTTACCGTTGGAGACAACATATGTTCAGGACATTGTCTCAACCGAAACCTCTTGATCCCGAAAATTGTCTCGTTATTGCGATTTCGTTGTATATTGATAACGAAGGCGTCCTCTCGTTGTTAGTTCACTCTATTTTAACGTTACCCAGACCTTCGCTACTCTGACACGCAGATTCATGCAGGATGAATGGCGTGTTTTGCGTCACTCATCACTCACGTCTGTTTAATGTTCCATAATGAGTCTCTTGCGTGACGCAACAGACATCTATCTGTCTTGTCTCCCTCAGATCTATTTTTGGTGCGAGTCAAGTCACGCATCCTGTCTACTCACGTCAATTTTGAAACTGTCTATCGCAGGGTAAATTTGTAGATGCTTTAGTGAGATGAAATCTGCCCCGATACAGTCGTTTCTTAGGGCTGGGGAACACCGGGGTAGATAGTGAACATTGGCGTAGATAGGGGTGAACTTCGGCGTAGATAGGATGAACATCGTCGTAGATAGGGTAGGTAAGTTGCTTAGGATTCCTTAGCATCTGGATAGACAAGACCTGTTCAAGAGGCTGGTAAATTGTATCCGTGGATGTTCAAGTCGGCTATTGTACCTATTCCTCCCTACTGTGATATCTACCCTTATTGTGATATCCTCCCCCTATTCCTCTACTGTGATGCCCCCTATTGCAATTCCTCCCCCTATTAGGATGCCTGTCTAAATATGGACTAAGGTGACCAAACCACACACTAGAAAGTGAAGGGACGAAGACGTTTCGGTCCGTCCTGGACCATTCTCAAGTCGATTGTGAGAATGGTCCAGGACGGACCGAAACGTCGTCGTCCCTTCACCTTCTAGTGTGTGGTCTGGTCAACATATTTCAGCCATGTTATTATGACTCATCGCCTGCATATGGACTAAACCTCCATCTCAAGCCTAAGTTTATAGTTAAAGTTTACCTAAACTTCAGGTAAAAGAATACCCATTGTTTAATTTTTAGGTTTACTTAAGACTTAAGGTTTAAATCTGAATTTTTTGCACGATTTAATATTTTGATTTGAATTTGCATAATAAGGTATCCATATTACTTATTGGCAGAAAATTAAAAAAATGAAGTTTTCAATTGATTAAAAATGAAGTTTTCAATTGATTAAACATGAAGTTTTAAATTGATTAAAAATAAAGTTTTAAATGTATTAAAAATGAAGTTCTACCTTTACAAAATTCTTATCATTTTAATTCTTGTTCAGAATACCATGAATGAAAGTTTAGACCAAATAGCTTTAAGTAGGAAGATTTTAACTTATTTTTTTAATGTTTCGATTTAATCCGTCACGGAAGGTCACGATGGGAGTGGAGTGGCTCATGGAAAACACCCCATCGACCTGAACGTTATGAAAAGGAATATGACCATCGCTAAAGGCTTCTTAGATATCAGTCTGCTGTCAGCCAACGCTAATCAACTTCGGAATATCATCAATTTCGGAGATACTGACAGCTCTATCTACTATCTGGTGCTATCTGGTATCATCGTCAGCCTCATACTCCAGGTGAGAGAGAGAGAGAGAGAGAGAGAGAGAGAGAGAGAGAGAGAGAGAGAGAGAGAGAGAGAGAGAGAGAGAGAGAGAGAGAGAGAGAGAGAGAGAGAGAGAGAGAGAGAGAGAGAGAGAGAGAGAGAGAGAGAGAGAGAGAGAGAGAGACAGAGAGAGAGAGAGAGAGAGAGAGAGAGAGAGAGAGAGAGAGAGAGAGAGAGAGAGAGAGAGAGAGAGAGAGAGAGAGAGACAGAGAGAGACAGAGAGAGAGAGAGAGAGAGAGAGAGAGAGAGAGAGAGAGAGAGAGAGAGAGAGAGAGAGAGAGAGAGAGAGAGAGAGAGAGAGAGAGAGAGAGAGAGAGAGAGAGAGAGAGAGAGAGAGAGAGAGAGAGAGAGAGAGAGAGAGAGAGAGAGAGAGAGAGAGAGAGAGAGAGAGAGAGAGAGAGAGAGAGAGAGAGAGAGAGAGATAGAGAGAGAGAGAGAGAGAGACAGAGAGACAGAGAGACAGACAGGCAGAGACGAGAGAGACAGAGAGAGATAGAGAGAGAGACAGAGAGACAGAGAGACAGACAGGCAGAGACGAGAGAGAGACAGAGACAGATTTATCAAAGAAAGGATATCCGAAGTGCTATATAGGATATCCCAGAGATACGACTGAACACATTATTGTTGTTATCTACGCCACCAACATTACTCTACGTTCAGTCTTCTACAGCATCATCTGCTTTCATTTCAACCAGTTGCCTTTCATTCCTCATTTCATTCTTCATTCACGAAGATATTCCTTCCTTCACGTAGCCATCTCTTTCATATGGGGTGAGAATAGCTTGAACTACCTCATCCCTTTGTGTGTATTTTACCTCAATAAACTTATTTCAATTTCAATTTCAATCTCTTTCATCAATGTCCCTGTCATTGTTTTGTTTGATAGACGTACTCAATTTCTACTGCTTGTGGATTAACCAATTTTAACACCAATTTAATAAATCGACAATTAGATAACTGAAGAAATAAAGAAAAAACTATTTAAGAACCAATTCTATTGTTGCTTTGATGTACAGGATATAAAAAATATATATGTTATTAAATTCACTAAATTGACAGTTTATATATTAATTTAAAACTGCCTGATCATCATATTTAACTTTTTTAAAAGTTTTTCTAAATAATCTCAACATTTTTGTGGTATTTATGGTAATTAAAATACACTGTACTGCCTTTCATAATGATTTTTTGCTCCATTTTGTATTATCTCTAAATAAAATTATTATATATTTGATATATTCTGGATTTTAAAATTATGTCTCGAGTAATAATCTAAATTATCCATTAACTGGATATAAATTAACGATGTTTATGACTACATATACTTTAAATTATTTATATTTATTGCAAAATTCAGCGAAGTTAACTGAAATTATTTGTTATTGTAATAAGAAGTTATTTGTGTACGAAAACTATTTTCATAATTGGAATCAAAATAAATTTGGCCAAATATGCATTTTGATACAAAATTGAGCAGAAACTTCATATTTGGATACGTAAGTTGTCGATTTTAACCTCATTCTAAATTAATTTGGGTTTTTACGTTTTCTAAAGAATATTAAAAATTTAGTTACGTCTGAATAACCTGCTTGATCTACTCCCCAAGCCCGGCCCGAGGCCAGGCTTGACTTGTGAGAGCTTGGTCCAACAGGCTGTTGCTTGGAGCGGCCCGGTTGGTCCGGCACGCCTTGGATAAAATGATCTAGTCTTAAAGATATCCACGGTTGTTCCTCACGTAACTTGACTCTGTGATTGCAGGTGTCTGCTGGGATTATCCTTATCGTCGCGGAGAGATACGACCTTAACAACCAAGACGATGACGAATGGAGCGACCGTCTCAACACCGTCGTTATAGCTCTCATCTTCGTCGTCCTCCTCGTCAATGTCTTCGTCTCCAGCCTGGGCGTTGACGTGGCCAACCCGTCAATGCACTCAACCCCACCGTCTATAATGAGTGCTTCCCGCATTGCTAAGTTAACCCCTTCAACCTTCTCCCCCCTTAAGACCCCGTAAAGCAGGGGTTTTGCTCGCTATCCTACCTTCTCCGGTGAGTTATGTGGGGGCTCTAATGCTATCCTGCCTTCTCCGTTATGTGGGGGCTCTTATGCTATCCTGCCTTCCCCGCTAAGTTATGTGGAGGCTCTTATGCTATCCTGCCTTTCCTGCCAAGTTATGTGGGGGCTCTTGTGCTATCCTGCCTTCCCTGTTATGTGGGGGCTCTTATGCTATCCTGCCTTCTCCGGTGAGTTATGTGGGGGCTCTTATGCTATCCTGCCTTTCCTGCCAAGTTATATGGGGCTCTCTTGATATCCTGCCTTCCCCGCCAAGTTATATGGGGCTCTCTTGATATCCTGCCTTCCCCGCCAAGTTATATGGGGCTCTTATGCTATCCTGCCTTCCCCGTTATCTGTGGGCTCTTATGCTATCCTGCCTCCCCTTTCCAATGAAGAGGATAGTTATCCTTAAATGTTATTCATGATGTAAATTGATAGTTTCCCGTTAAGACAGCAATTTGACTGAGAATGAGAGATATTTACTGATGTACAAATAATAAAACCCATCATAGTCTACTGAATCACGTGAATAATAATGTCAATAAATCACTGAACTACATGTCTAACAGGGGCCAGATTCACGAAGCAGTTACGCAAGTACTTACGAACCTGTCCATCTTTCCTCAATCTTTGACGGTTTTGGTTACATTTATTAAACAGTTTACAAGCATGAAAACTTGCCAAATCAACTGTTGTTATTGTTATAAACAGCCTCCTGGTGCTTCGGGGCTCATTAACTGTTTAATAGCTTAATAATTGTAAGCAAAGCTGCCAAAGATTGTGGAAAGATGTACAGGTTCGTAAGTACTTGCGTAACTGCTTCGTGAATCTGGCCCCAGATCTCTAACTATGGGAGGACAGAAGAAAATGCAGTATATATGTTGGTTTGCATTGTAAAAGAAAAAGTTTATATATGCTATGATGTCTTGATATCATTCTTTTGTTAATGGCTCAGAGTTAGAAACTGATTACTTCTCAATATATATTGTGCCTTTGTTGTTACGGGCTCACCATAGCCCGTGCTACTTGGAACTGTTTGTTCCAAGTAGCGAATCTTTAAGAACAACAACATGTTGTTTAAGATTCGCTACTTGGGACACAAAAAGTTCCAAGCAGCACGGGCTATGGTGAGCCCCGTGTACTGTGCCTTTACAACCATACTGTGTTAAGTACCATGTGTATGACGCTACATAGCGTGATTGCACAGTAGCTATGATAACAGTGATTACTGTTTCCGAGACTGTATGTGGTGGTATGTTACCGTAGTGGAGTTTTTATGTGGTATGTTGTGTTGGTGTATATGTAAACACCGTTTATGTGGTGTATCTGTGTCCTGTTGTCATTAATTAATATGTGTGATATCTATAACTAATCGTTATATTTCCTGTTGATATCCTGTCAGGGGATTCTCAGTGTCTTGTTGCTCGATGTGAAGCAATCGGCTCTGGGGTCACTTGCTGACCTTGTAGGTCAAGGCCCCCGTGACCGGCTCTGGGGTCACGTATTGACCTTGTAGTCCTTCATATCTGAGGCATGCACCAAGGCAGCCTGCATGTGGCCCCCCCTGGGCATGTGGGTCCCCCCCCTGGTCATGTGGGTCTCCCCTGGTCATGTGGGTCCCCCCTGGGCATGTGGGTTCCCCCCCCCCCTGGTCATGTGGGTTCCCCCCCCTGGGCATGTGGGTCCCCTCCTGGGCATGTGGGTCCCCCCTGGCCATGTGGGGGTCCCCCTGGGCATGTGGGTCCCCCTGGTCATGTTGGTCCCCCCCCCCCCTGGGCATGTGGGTCCCCTCCTGGCCATGTGGTCCATATTCCAATTCTCAATCACTCACCTAGAGACTGACTGTCCCTTAACAAAAATCAACATTGCATTAAAAACTTGAAAATACGTGTGTATACTAAGTGTTCATTTAATATATTGATAATCCTACGATATTTTAACAGTACAAAGCAGTAATGCTATTTAGAACTATTTTCAGTGTCTCACACATAATATTTAATATATCTTTGTATTGTGTTTTTTTCTAAATATATTGTATTGTACGTTTGTGTAGTAGCAATGGAAGTATTAGTTACATGTATGGAAGAGACATATATCAATTCACAGTCTCATAAAACGAGATGTATTTCAAGACTTGATGGCTAGGAGCGAAATTGTGTTAATTGCTAATTTGAGATTGATAGTGTCAGTACCAGTGGTAATGACTGAAAATACTGGTACCAGTGGTAATGACTGTGAAAATACTGGTACCAGTAGTAGTAGCAGTAAGCATCCACCAGTCTCGGAAGTGTGATAATACTGCCTTACTAACACACTAGTAACGAGTGTGATAACACTCCGTTACCTGAAAGATGAAGCTTGATGTTGAAGGTGCCTGAAGTGACCTCAACAGGGACAGGAAACCAGCGGCTTGTGGAACTTCCCAACATTAATCCTGGAGGCGTATATCTCCAGTTTTATCTTGAGCAGACACGCCTTGACACTAAAGGCCTTAGAGGCTAGCTGATATCATGGGGAAATTGTCCCCATATGCATGATAAATTATCTACTGCCTATGACTATTGCTATAAACATTAAACTGAGTAACTAGCATGTCAAAACTGTAATTTGTTTAGCTAAATTAATTTTGAGGTTCAGTCTCTGAGCCCATTACGTGTCTAGACTGTAATCGTTTCCATCATATAACCCATAGGATGGGTATGGAGTCGCCTATAGCCCATAGGATGGGTATGGGGTCGCCTATAGCCCATAGGATGGGTATAGGGTCGTCTATAGCCTATAGGATGGGTATGGGCTCGCTTATAGCCCATAGGATGGGTATGGGGTCGCCTATAGCCCATAGGATGGGAATGGGCTCGCCTATAGCCCACAGGATGGGTATGGGGTCGCCTATAGCCCATAGGATGGGTATATGGGGTCGCCTATAGCCCATAGGATGGGTATGGGGTCGCCTATAGCCCATAGGATGGGTATATGGGGTCGCCTATAGCCCATAGGATGGGTATGGGGTCGCCTATAGCCCATAGGATGGGAATGGGGTCGCCTATAGCCCATAGGATGGGAATGGGCTCGCCTATAGCCCATAGGATGGGTATGGGGTCGCCTATAGCCCATAGGATGGGAATGGGGTCGCCTATAGCCCATAGGATGGGAATGGGCTCGCCTATAGCCCATAGGATGGGTATGGGGTCGCCTATAGCCCATATGATGGGAATGAGCTCGCCTATAGCCCATAGGATGGGTATGGGGTCGCCTATAGCCCACAGTTTTAGTTTAGTTCATTTATTATGCACCCCATACCCATCTTGTGGGCGGTAGTAGAAAGGGTTACAGAGGCACATAATGGGCTCAGGGACTGAATCCACAATTCATTTAGCTAAGCAAGTTACAATCTTGATATTCCAAAATCCAGCTCTACAAAATCAACAGACCAAAGAGGGGGGAATCTTCGACAAGTTGTCGGCTTCCTGTCCTTGTCGAGGCCACGAGAGAGATAGTGGCCAACAGATAAAAATTCAGGTATATTTTACTTTATTTAAGTTTTCCATAAAAATAATCACGCATTAAAAAAAATGAGCCCATGATTCATCACAGAAAATGAAAAATATATGTGGCTAACTAGTGAAAATGCAGTATAATTTTTTCACAGCTTGCCAAACATTTGCCATTCTTTCCATACCAATATATAATGTCATGCATAACTACAGTGTACACAATTACTTCATCCACTCTTATGTACTTCAGAATTTCCTCAAAATGCATCTAAAACTATGCCAGTTTGACTATAAATACATCATTTCCTGAGTCTGACTAACCAACCAAGTAGAGGATTGGCCTATAACACCCACGTAAATGCGAATATTCTTACGTTAATATTAGTAAATAATAATGAAAATCATAAACTATTGTGAGCTAGCAGACAAAAACTTTCACGTGATCTAGTTATGTAATTTAGCAACGAACGAAGTATTTACAGCCGTCTACAGCACTGGACCTTATGGGGCTCTGTTCATGAGAACGGCAAAAGATCAGTTCCTTCCCGGGCTACGAAGTCACTCAGTTTCACATATCCACACATTAAAACATTGATTGTAACCGTGATATATATGTGCTTCAGCCTACAGTTTAGGCCTATTGTCTTATGTATGACCCTCTGTCCTGCGTGACAGTGAATACTAGCATTAACCTCAATTTAATAAGACTATCAAAATCCTCAGATTAGGCAAAATTGTAATTAATTTTGTCAATAAAGATGTTAATAATAATAACTCAGTCTTACAAATATTAAAAGAAAATATTTAATTAGTAACCATACTATCCATTTAGCAACCATACTGTGGTTACAGTTATTAATTATGTGGTTACAATATTAATTTACTGTTTTTTTATGTGTAAAATAAAGTGATTTACAGTTGTTTTAATGTGTTTAGAATGTTCTTGAACTCTCTAGGGTATTAAATAGATTATATTGTAGTATTGATTATATTGTAATGTTGAATTATTCTGCAGTTTTACATCCCTCATGTTTAACCACATGAATAATATTTTATCTCTTGTTTACAATGGGTCAACAATAGCTGTAAACATTGTATCACGAGTTATATCGAATGTTTGTTTGGAACCTAATGTGAATGAGAACTTGAACGTTTTTTAAAATGAGAGATATGACCAGAGATAACTATAGCTGGTAAAGGAATGATCCCCTACACAGATAGAACTAAAGACGAAAGGAGACAATTACTTGTGAATGAACACGGGTGGCTTAATTATAAATAATAATATAACAATTAAAATATGTTCTGCTCGTATAACATGTGTGGCACTGCATGTGCAATGCAGCTGTCGGAGAGGCCAAGCACTTCACAGGTGTTCAGTTAACAGGGGTTTACTGGATTGTGGTGTGTGTCTTCAAGCTTGCCTGCACAGGTAAGGTCTCCCTCTCCACGCCTACCTGCACTGGTAAGGTCCCCCTCTCCACGCCTACCTGCACAGGTAAGGTCCCCTCTCCACGCCTACCTGCACAGGTAAGGTCCCCCTCTCCACGCCTACCTGCACAGGTAAGGTCCCCCTCTCCTCTGCTCAGTCCTCCACGAAGCCTGACCGCTCAGCACCCTTGTGGGCCACTAAGGGAGATGGACACGCCATCCTGGACGTGGTTCAGTCTACAAGTGCGCCTCTATACTCACTGAAGAGATGGACTACAGTCGACGATAATCACTAAACGTGCACCATTCCTGGCCCTCGACGACGTGCAGTCTCCCTCAGGTCTATGTAACACCTAACTTCTCTATTTCTGCTGATGTTGTCTCTCAGACGGTCCTCCTCCACGTCGCAACACGTGACTAATTCTACCTAACACAATCTCAATATATGGAAGTATAGAAGTGCGAACAAGCCTGAATGGTCCCCAGGACTATATGCAACTGAAAACTCACACCCCAGAAGTGACTCGAACCCATACTGCCACGAGCACTCTGCTGGCATACATGATCCCTTAACCGCTCGACCAAGTATAGAAGTCGAAGATGGAAGTATAGAAGTTTATAATCTATATAAGAAAATCAGTCTATGAAATGACTGTTTTCCAATTGACTTTTCTTGTGTGATTTCTTACTAGACGTCACAATATGTAATGGGGGTTAATGGGGGTTACATTATAT